ATACCTCTCGAACGCCATGTATACCGGTTCGTTGGGCACCGCCAGTAGGCCCGACCGCTCGGTGTAGTTGGTCTGCGCTATGGAGGGGGACAGTAGGGCGCTGTCGGCGAATAGGGCGCACTCCCGGCTCTCGGGAATACTGGTGTACTTTCGGCAAAATTTCCACTCGTTTTGGGCGTATTGACGGTATTCCTGTTCAGACATACCCTCCCGGACCTCAACGGGATTACCCACATATGTATAGCCGGGATATGTTTGGATTTGCGACCGATTCCGGGGCACAGTTAACGCGAAACTGTGGTTAGACTTTGCCTTTGAGTGAACCCACTTCGGCGTACTGTTGAAGGCGTATACGTGACACAACATACCCTCCCCTTAAGCTCCAGTTCCCTTATTATCTGCTTTAGTGTCGCTATCAGTAGATCCCACGTCTTGAATGGTAACGAAACTGCAATTATTGCCGGAATTCTCTATACGCAACGCCCCCTATCCAGGTCATTTTGAATACAAATGTGTCGTGGACGTATGTGTTGAACGAAATGAATCCTGCCGTACCATCAATGGGTGGGACCTATCGAATTGCACTGGAAATGGATGTCTCAAATTTATCGATCAAATATCCGACGATATGTTACAAAAGTTGGAGGGTATAGTTGACTACTCAGTGCACGCACAATCGGGGCATATGTTGTGGTTCAACATTAGTGGAAAGCCTTTCTATTGTTTTACACTTGAAGACCAACCACTATCCCGACAGGTATTCACAATAAAGTGATCAATGGTTTTGAAAACAATGTTTTAATTTTAGTGCCAATCGGAGAATAATATGATTCCCTATGAAGAGCAATGCTTTCTTCCCACGACTATTCCCACGACTATTCCGACGACTACTGAAGTAACGACTGAATCACCGATTCTTTCGACCACTAGAGAAGAATTGACTGAATTGACAGAATCAACAACCCCTTTGACTCAGAAAACAACTAAACCCCCGAAAAGCAATGAATTCCTTGTGTTTCTACTAATAATGGTAATATTATTCTTAATTGTGGTCATAATCGTAGTGTTCATTGTGGTTGTGATTGTGTCTCACAAGAGAGATAATAAACCAAACGATGTGGTGATGTCTGGGAAGAGAAAAAACAAGAAGAAGACACGAAAAATGGAAGGCATTCCTATAGTTGCCATACAATCCAATGTCCGCTCAAAAGGTATCAGAAACTGAAGAGGAGAGAGAATACCCCAAAGTTTTCATACATTTTTCATTTCATTATTTATGAAAAAATATCTTTTTTCTTATTTCTATTAAATTTTGTATTTAGTGTGGAAAAGACTATTCACATAATTTGAATAATAAGTTATTAGTCAAAGAAATATTTAGTTTTATATTATTTATATATTTATTTTAATACATTCATTATTTGAGTAATATTTGCGAATAACTAATAAAGTAATCGATTCATCAAAATTACATTTTGTGAATAAATTGTATCCAAAACACAAATTTTACAAATATTGATATTCAAAATATTATTACTTTTCGAAACATTAAGTATTGTAAAGTATTGAATTTAAAATTCAATTCACTTCTTGTAAACGAATATTTGTTTCAAAAATCTATTTATTTGTCATAAAAAGAGTTTTACTCAAAATAAAGTATACCTTAAATATTATATTTATCACTATTTTGTTGTCAATTATTAGTATTCATTAGAAATCCATTGGTTGTCAATTCATTATTCTGCAGTATATTCGATATTCATATTTATTATTTTTTATCTAGGTGTTTAAGTAAAAAATACAAATTTTGTTTAATATAACTATTCATATTGTTATGACTAATATAAAAATTATTTAACGAAAAAGGTTTTATAATGAAATAATTAATCAGCATATTTTTTGGAAATATATTATTTTGCACATATTTAAAAATTTTTTAAACTCTATAAATTAAAATTCAAATTAAATACCCAAATAATGGACACTACTATGGGGTCGGAGGTTACAGTAAAATCCGTATCACTTTCGTGGCATAATATACGAGTTGTGACTAAAATTAACAAAACTTCGTATAATTGCTATAAAACTAATGAAACTCCAAAAGAGATCATCAAAAATGGTATTTTATTTAATTATGTAATGCCAAAAATTATTTTAAATTATTAATAGTGTCGGGTGTGGTGCAGGCCGGTCAGTTATTAGCAATAATGGGTGCCAGGTATAATTAGCTATTTTTCCAATCTATATCTTAAATAGATTTCTATTAAATAATGTGTAAAATTATGGATTCAGTGGTTCGGGCAAAACAACTCTATTGAATGCATTGACGGCAAGGAATTTATCACAACTGTCCGTCAGTGGGAAGGTATTACTGAACGGACAGGTAGTCAGTCAACAGAATGTGGCCTCCATCTCCTCGTATATACAACAGCAAGACTTACATCACCAGTTACTCACAGTTAGGGAACACCTATTATTTCAGGTATTTTAATGTGTAATTTAAATTTGTATGTATTTTTGCATTTAAATTGATTGTGTGTTTAGGCATTACTACGAATGGATAGCAATTTAAGTCAAAACCAGAGAATCGATTGTGTCGTACAAGTCATGCAAAAAGTTATTTTTTATCATTTAATTAATTCAGTATTTAATTATTATTTGTATACTTGCTAGTTAAATTTAGCCAACTGCTCGGACACATTTGTTTATGCCATTTCCGGGGGTCAAAAGAAAATACTGTCCATTGCATCAGAGGTTTACAAAACTCATCATAAATTATATTTTTAAAATTTTCATTAATTTTTAAAAGATTTTAACCGACCCTTCACTTGTGTTTTGGTGAGAAATACCAGTTTTATAATAATTTATAAACACATTTAACACTTAAATCTATTTATTAGTGATGAGCCGACCAGTGGTTTGGACTCATTTATGGCTCAAAGTATAGTTCAAACGCTGAAGACTATGGCATCTGAAGGCCGGACAGTCATCTGTACTATACATCAGCCCTCATCTCAAGTGTTTGCACTCTTCCAACACTTATTACTGATGGCCGACGGGAGGGTGGCTTTTATGGGCACAACCAGTATGTAGTCATTGATTTGTACTAGTACAGTATTAAATTATTATAGATTATATTTAAATATTCAGGTGATGCCAAACAATTTTTCACATCACAAGGATTGGTAATAATTTCATAATTTATGTGATAATTTATTTCATAATTATTTGAAATACTCATAACTATATTTACATTTATACCATGAGATTTGTCCGATAAACTACAATCCATGCGATTACTACATTGATCAATTAGGTTCAAATTAAATTCAAAAAAACATTATTGGCGCAAATAATATAAAATATGGATATCATTATCTTTTAATAGCTATAACTCAGGAATCGTATTCAGAATCTACAAACAAAGTGAATGTATTTATCATTTATAGTTATAAACTTATTATTTCCGATATTTAAAAGTTTTAAATTTTAAAACCCATAGAATATTTGCGACAATTATCTTATCTCGGTGTTTGCTAACGACATGATTAGACATGAAACTAACCATAATCAATTGGCAAATACAATGGGAATTATTGAAACTGGATATAAAGCGGGGCATTGGAGGCAAACTCGGACACTATTTTGGCGCACAGCCCTACTTACTGTACGCCATCCAGGTCTATTAAATGCTCATTTAACACGATTTCTGGTTTGTTCAACTATTATTATTACACAATTTTAAAATAATCATTTAAATGGACTAAATTAAATCTATGCAATATGTGCCCGTTCATTTGACAACAGGTTTCAGCAATATTGATGGGACTAGTATTCTGGGGACAGGGAAGTCAGCTTAATATCAACAATATCAATGGGGCACTAAACCTAATGGCCCAGCTCAACTCACTCTGCCTGGCATCGGTGGCAATCACTGTATGAATTATTTGTGTTTTATTTATAGATTTTTATATAACATTAATCTATGGCTTAACACATTATTTCAGGTATTTTTCTCGGAGGCACCGATTGTAAGCCGGGAACACCTGAACCATACATACGCCGTGTTTCCATACTTTTTGGCTATAGTCTCACTTCAAGTATATTTTGAAAATAAATAATTTTAGAAATATTTAGATATAATTTGAAAATTATACGTTTTATTAAACTATTATTAACTATTTTTCACAAATATATAGCTAGCGTTGTATTCAGTTTTATCAGTCATTTATACAGTAATCATGTATTTTATGATCGGCCTCTATCCGGATGCAGGGACCTTTTTCATTTGCTTGTCCGTAACTATTGTATTAGTCTTAAGCGCCGGCAGTTTTGGTAATTACAAGTAGTTAATTTATCTCATATAGTTATTATTTGGTATAATTGTTGAGCACTAATTTTTATTATGTTTTACAAATTTTGATTATCAGGATTTGCAATATCTAGTTTGTGTAAGGACTTTCCAACTGCCAGCGCTATACTAGCATCGGTAGTTCCGCCGTTTTTATTAATGGGCGGATTTTACCTAAATAACAGGTGAGGATAATAGGTTTCTGTTAGCTAACTACAAGTTTAATACTATATGTTTGTCTAAAAATTGTGTTCTAGCTCTATGCCTGGGTGGTTAGTGTGGTCCAAGTACTTGTCGTTTGTGTACTACGGGTATCAGTCATATGTGGTGAATGAGTGGCGGCATATCGATAGCATTCCCTGTGATATGAATGGCACGGAATCAGCGAATAATAGCTGTTTTGCCAATGGGTTGACTGTTATTGAATCCATGGGTTACTCACTAAATAGTATCATATGGGGTCCCATCGCCCTGTTAGCTATGACTGCAATTTATTTGATAATAAGTTATATTGGATTAGTTATGAAAGTCAGACCAAAATAAATTACATGACATAATATAAAAATTTTATTCTGTATTAACATATACTTTATTATTATCTTAATAAAATATATTTGAAAATAGTTTAATTTGTATAATATTTTGTTAGATTTGTATTTATTAAAATGAATTATAATAAATTAAATTGCATTAAAAATGTCTGATAATATAATTTTGTTATAAAATAGATTTAAAATTTCTAGTATATTAAAATCTATAAATTATAGCTTTCTATTAAATAATTTTTTTATCTAATTAAAAATTAAAGTGAAATTTCTGAACTTTTATAATAATTAAATAATTTAATTTTATATTAATTTAACTTGGTTATAAATCTTTATTTAGAAATAACATTGCTTATACAGGGTATCACGAAAAGCTAATTAATACAAATGAATAATATATTTATAATAGTAAATATTATTTATTTCCAAATCGTGATAACCGGAAATAATGCCAATCAATACTGATGTCCCTGTGCCTGTGCCTGGGGCACATTTCAAAATACTTGACTGCCCAAACCATTGCCACCGCTGTTACTTGCCGAAGTATCTTGCTCAATTGATACTCTGATCACGTAATTGCCGACCGCCATCATAGCCATGAATAGAATTGAGGCCAAAGTTATGTACTTGCTCATATTTCCCGTATAATAATCAAGTAGTTTATGTTAATAATCAAAATAAAAATATAATTACTAACTTAAATGTTTGCTTAAAATGTTTGTTTGAGTTCCCGATATTTATACGAACTAAAAATGTGCATGTTAATGCAGCAAATTATTTCCAAAATCTTAATAATGTTTTGATAATTTTTATATTTTAAATTTAATTAGCAGTAAACATTAGTTTTTAATCATGCACTAACTATTTTATGTAAAATCATTTAATATTCTTACTTAAACACGATGTCAAGGGATAACAAATTGTCAATATAAGTTGGTGAAATTAAAAAAATAAAATAAGCTTATTAAATGATTTTACATAAAATAGTTAGTGCATGATTAAAAACTAATGTTTACTGCTAATTAAATTTAAAATATAAAAATTATCAAAACATTATTAAGATT